GAGAGAAAGAGAGGGCCCAAGGCCTTGGAGGGAAGAGTCAGAGTGGAGGTGGAACTGGTGCGGGGCTCTGGGGAAAGGGGTGGAATGGGGCATGGGCATATGGAAGCGGTGGAAAAGGGGAGAAGGCTCTGGGCTCCAGCTAGGGCTGAGAGCTCTGCCAGTTCTGGCCAAGGCTTTGTCCCTGGCCAAGCACTCACTCCCTACCCACCTGTAGCCCCAGCTAAGCACTTCAGCTCCTAACCGCCCTGGACAGAAGCAAGGGGGGCTCTGGGGAAAGGGGTGGAATGGGGCATGGGCATATGGAAGCGGTGGAAAAGGGGAGAAGGCTCTGGGCTCCAGCTAGGGCTGAGAGCTCTGCCAGTTCTGGCCAAGGCTTTGTCCCTGGCCAAGCACTCACTCCCTACCCACCTGTAGCCCCAGCTAAGCACTTCAGCTCCTAACCGCCCTGGACAGAAGCAAGGGGGGAAGGGAGGTTCCCTGGATGTTAGGCTGGGAGCGCAATGGCTGTCAGCCTTGCTCTTGGGGTCTATCAAATAGTTGTGTAACTACTAAAATGTAAAATCGAGTGACATGACTATTCAATTATATGCTAACATCTCTTACATGATACAGTTTTGAATTCTCAAGAACAAAAACATTTTGACCTGTAATGATTTGCTAATGGCACAGTTAATAATACAATAAAAAAAACTAAAGTCTTTGTATGCAAGCCAAATCGTCAAAGAAAGCAATGTAAATGTGACAGCCCAAGAGCTCAACTCAACTTAGTGCTAATCTCTCCTACACATTTACTTGGCAGGAGATTGGAAGAATGTATGAAATAGATGAAGAAAAAACAAAACAGAAAAAATTATTTACTTGCCTAAAAATGTTTTGACAGATAAGAGGCTCACTGTGATGCAGTGAGGATGACTGGTTAAGGATCATTTTAAATGAGCTACCTAACTATTTGTATTAAAGTTTAATTCTACTCTCACATCTCATCACAGTAAAACACTGGAATTGCATCCCTTCTACTTCACCTAT